GATGCGGAAGGAGCCTTCGACCCGTCTACTCCGACCCCACATGGGAGGCCCAGACAAGGAGAGCGCGAGAAGTGAGGAGGGCGGAGGCGAATCGAGGTGGAAGAAGGAATCCGAGGACCAACGGTCGATGCTGCTTGATGTTATTGCTCCCCACATCCAAAGTAGGGATTTGGTTGTACATGCACATCCCCCGCGCACACTCATTCACCCAACTACTCACTCACACACGTCATCACTCACACTCATTCACTCACCCACCCACTCACCGACTCTCACACACACACACACACACTCACACACTTATCACCATCACTCATTCACGCCCCACCCACTCACTTACCCACCTACCCTACCATTCACTAACTCACACTCTCATCAGCACCACCACCACCACCACCACCACCACCATCATCATCATCATCATCCACATCATCAGCAGCATCAGCATCAGCATCAGCATCAGCATCAGCATCAGCATCAGCATCAGCATCATCATCATCATCATCATCATCATCATCATCATCATCATCATCATCATCATCATCATCATCATCATAATCATCATCATCGTCATCCTCATCAGCATTATCACCATCATCATTACCACATTCACTCACTCACTCACTCACTCACTCACTCATTCACTCACTCACTCATCTCAGGCAGGAGCCTCGTCTGTGAGTGAACCGACAGGAAGTCTCAGGCAAGAGACCCCCCACTCTGGGGCCCGCAGCTCAAGGTTGCAACCCGACCGGGTCATCCGAAACCTGTACCTGTCGCCACTTTTGGGCTCCAGGGGCTGGAACATGGAGGAAGTATCAGGCAGGAGCCTCGTCCATGAGTGAATCGTGAAGAAATCTCAGGCGGGAGCCTCCTCATATTTGTAATCAGAGCGGGCCATCGGAAACCTGTACCTGTCGCCACTTTTGGGTTCCCGACGCTTGAATATGGAGGAAGTACCAGGCGGGAGCCTCGTCTGTGAGCGAAGCGCGAAAAAAAACCATGCGGGGTCCCCCCTATGGGGCCCGCAGCTCATGTTTGCAACCCGACCGGGTCATCCGAAACCTGTACATGTCGTCACTTTGGGGCCCCCTAAAGCCTGAACATGGAGAAAGTATGAGGCGGGAGCTTCATTTGTAAGTGAATGGCGAGGAAGTCTCAGGCGAGAGCCCCCTCCCTATGGGGCCCGCGAATCCTGATATTAATCCGCGCGGGCCATCGGAAACGTGTAACTGTCATCTGTGAGTGAAATGCGGAGAAGTCTCAGGCGGGAGCCCCCTCCCTATGGGGCCCGCAGCTCATGTTTGTAATCAGACGAACCTGTAACTGTCGTCACTTTGGGGCTCCTCAGGCGTGAATATGGATCAAATATCAGGCGGCATCCTCGTCTTTCAATGAATTCCGAGTGAGTTTTGTTAGGGGCCGCCTGGGGAGCTATTTGCCCTTTGGCCTAATCGCATAATGCGAGGCGAGAGCCTTTGGCCTCGCCAGGTATGCGAGCCTCTGGCCGCGCACGACTCCTGTATGATCAGCCAGCGTCGGCGAGAGCCTCTGGCCTCAGGCCTGAATTCTCAGGCGGGACCTCTGGCCTGAGGCCTCTGGCCTCGGCGAGGAGGAGGAGGAGGAGGAGGAGGAGGAGGAATGCCCCAGGAGGCCCCAGGTCCCGGGAGGGCCCCACATGGCTCCAGGAGGCCCAAGGAGGTCCCAGGAGGCCCGAGGAGGAGGCAGGAGGCCTAAAAAGGAGGCAGGAGGACGAGGAGGAGGAGGACGAGGAGGAGGAGGAGGAGGAGGAGGAGGAGGAGGAGGAGGAGGAGGAGGAGGAGGAGGGGGAGGGGGAGGAGGATGGAGACGAGGAGGAGGAGGCGGAGGAGGGAGAGGGAGAGGAGGAGGAGAGAGTTGGGAGGAGGAGGAGGAGGAGAAGGAAGAGGGAGCGGGAGAGGGAAAAGGAGGAGGAAAAGGAGGAGGATGAGGAGGTGGAGGAGGCAAGAGGAGGAGGAGGCAGGGGGTGAGGCAGGAGGAGGAGCAGGCAGGAGGAGAAGGAGAAGGCAGGAGTAGGTGGGAGAAGGGAGGGGGCAGGAGGAGATCCCCAAGCAACTTAAATCGACTCTCATGTGGGGTCCTACCGTCGGAGTAATTTGGGGGGGTACCCCCCTTTGGTCCCAATACCATGTCGTGCGCTCTCCTGATCAGGGCATGTTCGACGACGGTATGAAAACAACGAGTGGCAACAGGAGAAACTATATATATATAGGTATATGTATATAACATACGGCGTGGTGTCTACCACGACCTGCAACGCCAGTGGACATCTCACCTGCAACGCCTCGGTTTTGCACGTGACATGCCCGCAGCAATGAAATACAAGTGTGCTCGCCGCTCAGGGGGTATCCTCATTGTGCTTAGCCGCCAATGCCAAGACGGTGCTGCACTCGAGCGCGCGCGCGCGTGTGCACTCATGCGCGCAAGCTTGGCGACGGGAGGGGAAAGGCGGCCCGTGGTAGAAGCCATGAACGGACATGGAAGGCACTCCGCGAAGTCCTCGAAAATGTTGAGAATGCAGCCTGGCGGAGAATCACCATCACAATTCGCCAGCCCAACGGGCCAGAGGCGTGCTAAGATCTCCGGTAACTACTTAACAATACTTCTAGTTCGCGCGCGCGGGGCGGCCCCTGGGGGGCCTGGACGAAAAGTACCCCGGCCGATCCCCGGCTGACCCCCGGGCGGTCCCCAGGGAAGCTATTTTTCGCCACCCCTCACAAGGATCGTGGCCTCCGAGGGGAGGGCTGCCAACGACTACCCCCCCTCCCGCCCCAAGGGGCCCCCAGGAGCCCCCCAAGAGGCCCCAGGGGAGCCCAATACGCCGCCAAGGAGCCCCAAGACGCTCCCAAGAAGCCCCCAAGAAGCCCCCAAGACGGCCCCAAGAGGCCCAAAATAGCGCTCCAGGGCCGGCGGAATGAGCGAAGCGATTCAATAATCCTGGTCACTCGTGATCTTGCCCGCGTGATCGATGGCACGTTCCTCGTGATGGCCTCGTCAAGAGAGCCCGGACTCGTGAGACAGAGCCTCGCATGAGGACATTCGGTGCCAGGCAAGAGCGACGGGCGTACTCGACGGGCGCCCCTGTGTGCCATTATCGACAGCGTCGTTCCCCATGGTGTCTGTGCCTTCGTTGTCGATGATGTTCGCCTGCGCCTTTCTCGCCTGCGTCTCGGCCCGCGTGCACGAAGAGTACCGCGAGGCATGGCGCGGATATGGCGAGTCGAGGTGAAGCGCAACATGTCGGTGCCGCTGGCTGCAACGACTGAGCTGGAGAGGATCTGATCGGAGGAGGCGTGACACGGCAGAGAGGTGGAGGAGGGAGGAAGGAGGAGAGAGGAGGGAGGAGGGAGGAGGGAGGAGGGGGGAGGAGGAGGAGGAGGAGGAGGAGGAGGAGGAGGAGGAGGAGGAGGAGGAGGCGAAGCGAAGCGAAGCGAAACGAAGCGAAGGCGCCAGAGTCGGGCACACAGGTGCGCCCGTGCCCTTCTGGACAGGGCGCACGAGGCCGTGGCCTCACGTTGTGTGCGAACACAAGTCGTGGATGAAATACTGCAGGAGCCAGTGGACAAAGAAAACAAGGAACAAGGCGCACGTGAATCGGAAGAACAGGAGGACGTGGCAGAAGATGCTCACGAGCCTGGTCAAGATCGAATCGGTGCGGTCGGTGTCGTGGCTGTTGCTATGGATGGTCGTCGGTAGTCGATGCTGTGCGTTGGTGCCACTGCTGCGTTGCTGTCGGTGTTGCTGTCAGTGTTGGCGTGTTGATGTCGGTGTTGGTGATTAGTGGTGCAGTCGGTGCTGTTGTGTGTAGTCGGTGCTGTTGTGTTACTGTCGTGGTTGGTGGTCATTGGTGTTGGCACTGGGGGTTGGAACGGCTATTGGTGCAATTGGTGTTGGGAAGTTTGCGCACTCAGCTGATGCATGTACTGAAAGCGCTCTCAAGCGAATCCCACCACGTCGTGTCTGTCGCGGCTGTCAACCATCTCACTTCGTTACTGTCGTAGTGGAGGTATGGTCGTGGATGGACAGCGTCGTGGTGTCGCTGCGCGTGGCCTCGTCACTGGCGTTCTTATGCAATCCGTGCAACAAATTTCTCAGGTCGTCGTCCCACCGCATTATTTGGCCACCATGCTGCTGGTGACATGTTGTTGCGTGTCGGGATTGGGGTTCAGTTCAACGCTCGGTGTGTCCATCGATTCTGCGGATGGCTTGCAACGCGCGCGGCCCAACACAAAACCTTTGTGCTGCCCTACGTCAGGGATGTCGTGCTTGCTCATGAATTCCTCAGTTATGCGTGTGCTCCGGCGGACGAAGTCAGGCCACAGCTCGTCGTCGTCCATCGTCTGCTCGTGGATCTGGTGCGCGTCACTGGTGTCTTCTTGTGTGCTGGTCTTCTCTGATGGGGAGTGGGGGGTCGCTGGATGCTTCGTGGTCGGTGGGGGAGGAGGAGGAGGAGGAGGAGGAGGAGGAGGAGGAGGAGGAGGAGGAGCCATAGTGCCCTCGCGAGCCTTCGCAAAGGTGGGACGCGTCGCGCGGCTCGGTGATTTCGGCTGTCAGTGAGGTTAATAAGGCTCGGGAAGACCACCAGGGCGCCGCAAACGTGTCCATAATCGATTTTGCACGCCTGAAATGGGTACGGGAAAAATGGGCACAATGCCCGACGACAAATGTCGTCTCAAACCATCAGCGGCCGCTGCTGGGCAGGCGGCCTTCTGTCTCAGATGGACACAGTCCGCGGCGACGCCGACAGCGAGTCCTGTTCAAAAAGAACAGGAACTGCTGTCGGTCTTTGTGCCCATTCTTTCCGTACCCATTTCGATCTTCCCGATCGGCACCTCGGAAAGAGCTCCTCCAGCGCGTGTGGCGCGAGGCCCGGAGGTGTCTCGAGCGCAGCTGTCCCCCCACAGCAGAAGAGCCGAGCGTCAATGTGGGAGGAATGGGAGATGCCTCCGTCAGAGTGCGACCTGAGCAGAGCGGCAGCTTGATCAAGGCAGCTCGCCTTGGCACCGTTCCTGGATCGGAGAATGCGGGCACCCGGAGATCGGACGTCGATAATCAGACTAACGAACGAAAACAAAGACACCGCCCCAAAAAACACAGCTGCTGGAATTCTCGAGCCGTGTCGATCCGCGAGGGGCCTCAGGGCCCGAAAATCCAGATCGTCGGAAAAATGCGTGACCTCAGAAGAATCTCAAATAAACCCGCGGGCTTATTGACGGATTGCGACCCCAACAATGGCTGAAAAGGGGAGGACGAGGGGGAGGACGAGGGGAAGGACGAGCAGGGGTGGCCATAAATCCGCCCACGGCTCATGGAACTCCCGGCTCTTCATCCGACGGCGGCACCTGATCGCTCCGAACTCCACGTGATCCAGATCGGGGGCGACAACGGGGGCGAATAGCGTGTATCCAAGGACGCCGATAGTCCATACCTTCCGCGAGGCTCCAGGGCGAATGCGTGTAATGTCCGCCCCTGCGCTATTCGCCCCTGTCGTCGCCTCCGACCAACGCCCTCCCCCAAACTCCCCTCGCTGCCCCCCTCCGGCCTCAGGTAGACGTCGGGGTGTTCCACGCCCTGCACGACGCCTGCGGCGCCCCAGCGCGGGGGGGAAGATATGAAGACGCAGAAGGAGGAGTGAGACATCTTACTGACTACCTACCAGACCACCCCAACCCAACCCGAAGACCCGAATTTCGGGTTGGGGGGGGTAAGGGTTCCACATGTGTTTTTTCGATGTTTCCCGACCCCCCCCCACTGGAAATCGAGGGTAAATCTGAGCCTTCGGGTTGGGTTGGGTTGGTTTGGTGGGTGGTGACTTACAAGATTGTTGACGATGTGCTGTTTCAGATCCTTGGGTGTTTCATCAGCTGCGGCCCCCGTGGGGCCCGCCATCGGGCCCCGGGACCATCTGGCACGAAAAGCCGCCCCTTGGGATGGGGCTCAGGGACGAGTCAGCGAACGTGCTTCACGACGCTCTCGTGCCGAATCGCGCCCCTGCGTGCACACAATGGCCACCGGCAGGCACCGCGAGCCCCGAAGGGGCACTGGTGGGCGCTGCGCCTGCATGGCCACGGGCATGTGACGGGCAGGGACCATGGCCCGTGTGAGCTGTGCGCGCGAGTAAGTGGACCCCGGGCCCCAGGTGATTTTATGCTGCGACTTCTCCCGATCACCCTCCGAGGGTGGTCAGGCGTTGAACAACAGAACGGTGACACCGTCGAGTATCTAAATTTTTCGCCGCCTCGCGGCCTTCCTCGCCCCACCCCCGCGCCCCTTGTGCAAATTGCCGATCCGCAATCCCGACCAGGCCCCTCCCGCGACGAACGATCGCCAGCGCCAACACAAAAAACTGCGTGGATCCAAGGAGAGGTCCGCGTTCCGTTCGTGGCAACGGAGGTCTGCCATCTTTCATGCCAGTGAATCCGATCACAGTAGCGTTGTCGCAAGGGTCGACAATGGCAAAGCTAGGCGGCTCGTCGCTGCTAGACCGCTGGGGGGGGGGGGATGGGGCTCTGCAGGCGCCGAGGAGCTCCATCGCGCATGGGCGGCGGAGGATCAGTGGAACTGCGGGCGGGTCAAGGGGCTTGTCCGCTTACTACCGAGGCCGAATGTTCAGACTGCGGCACGTTGCAAATTCGATCGGACTCGTCGTCGACCATGGCGCTGTCCTCACACCGCCAAGGGAGGGGGGGGGGGGCGGGCCCGACGAACTGCCAGCAGTGAGCTCCGCCATGGCCTCGATACCAGCGTTTGCGGGAGAGGGCACCCCTCGTGCGCCCAGCTCTCGCGGGCGACGGCTCGGCGAAGAGAACGGTGGCCGAGAAGAGCTGCTGGGCGATGGCGGCGATCGCAAGTCGCGAGGACATCGCATGCGCACTGCGGCGCCCCCGCCATCAGCGGGGAAAGCGCGCGCAACGATCCTGGATGGCATGGCGGGGCTAGACCGCTGCCAGCTTGACTAATAGAACGCGCGCGGAGCTCGAACGGCGACCTCGAATGGGCCAGGCACGGCGCCGCTGTGGGCGGTGCGCGGCAGAGTCCGCAGAGGTGACCTGGGCGGGCTGAGCATGCTCCTGAGCGCCATGTGCATGCGACCGTCTTGTAGCGCTTGGCGGTACAGGTTGGCTGCCCACTGCCAAATGGCCAGGTACAACACTCGAAAATGCATCCATGAGCCATTGCCGCGCCGCGTCCGCACGAGCCCAGACCGCCTGGCAGATGTCCCAAGAGCAGAGCCAGAGGGAGTTGGAGGGCCTGAGCGGAAGGCGGCCCACCCTGGAGTCAGGCTCGACTGGGCGTGGCATGTCGAACGGCATGACGTCTACCCGGTCATCGAAGTCTTGCCGCGCCTCGCCCTCTGTCGCGAAGAACCATGGCCCCGCGTGGCCTTCCAAGTGGCCGAGCATCCACAGCGCGTCGTCAGCGCCTTGCCCAATAGAGGCGGCAGTAAGAGGCTTGCCTGGGAGCGACCGAGCGCGACCCGCCTGGTCGACGAGCTGGACTGGCCCTAGCGGAGCAGCGCGTTGAACTCCCACGCTCTCGCGGCGATGCCCTCGGTCTCGTTCGACGCGCCACGGGGGAAGGGGGGGGGGGCGGGCGACCAGCGGCGCTGCAGTCGCGCGAAGAAGTAATTAGGCGGCGGCGAGCAGCGCAACTCAAGAAGTCGCCTGCCAGCCGAAGCCTCCAAGAGGTAGAGAGACGAGCTGCCAGAAACACCAGGCTGAACTTGGCATCGGGAAGCGCCTGGAACATCTTCCTGACCGACCACTTCCTCTACAACTGAAACCCTTTGGCAGTCTCGACGAGATTCAGCTTACGAGGGGATCCAAGTGGCCACCCAGCTGAGAACCCTGAAAGGTAAAGCACGTCCCCAACCATCACCAGCGTCCGCCCATCCAGGTTTGCATCAAACAATTCTGCATTCCTGCCCCAAGAAACACCAAGCATGGCGGGGAAGGCGTGACGGCCGTGACGGGCTACGTCAGGACAAAGACCACGCGAATTGCTGATAGCCTCGAACGCGTTCGTAACGTTCACGCTGGTGGGCAAGCTCGGCCTCACGCTGATCACGAGGTAGTTGAGAAATACGGGTCGCGAGTGCCTCCCGCCCTTGAAAACCAAGACGCCGCGCCACTGCGCAGAGCTACACTGCCCAAATTTGTAAGCTGCCGGGGTAAGTGCTATTGCACGCGTTGGTGAAGACATAGTCGTAGTCAGCCTTCCGCAACGGTGCTTTGGCCAACGGGATGCACCATGCCATCCAGTGCTGACGCGAGTCGATGTGTTCATCCTCGAAGAGAACGTGCAGAACCCATTGTTCACATAGACGCCAGACAACTTTGAATTGGGCAAACTTTTCGGATTCCTCATCTCCCAGAGGCTGCACCGCCTTCGCGATCAAGCCAGCAAGAGTATCGGCGTCCGAGACTGAGGGGCTCGACAAACTCGACGAAGACGAAGAAAACGAGAATGAGGAACGCACGTGCCCATGTGAAGCAGGCGGAAAACGGCTGGGTTGCACCTAATGGCCACCACACGGGCGGGCCGTAGCCAGAGGGATGCACTGCTGGCTTCTCGTCACAAGGTAAAGTTTGGCAAGGCCTCGCGTCCTCAGAACCCCACGGGCAATTGCAAGGAGGGTCCCAGGCGGCACCGGCACGCAATGCCTCAGCTCGTGGTGCACGGAGCTCGTCAACTGGACGTTCTCAAAGCCGCTCGATAGGACCAGCAGCGAAAGGGATGCGCCCGCCAGATGTCGCCATCGCGATGGCCCACACCAAGCATCTGCAGTGAATGTAGTGACCGAGCTCATCCATATCGCCTTCGCAGCAACATTTGGAATATTTGAGTCCGTCCACAGATATGCGGGCGCTAAGCCACACGCCAAGCCAGGACCGCAGTATGCCAAAAGCCAAAGCAACAGGGAGTGTCTTCAACCTGGCTCGCAGCTCAGCCCATGGCAATGCCTGGAGCGAAGCAGCCATTTAGACAACATCTTCACAATCGTGCCATCCAGTGGCGAACAGTTTCTCGAGAAGGGCGTGGCGAAGACCTTCATCTTGGAAGCCAGTGAGTTCCAGCGTGACGGAGAAAGTCGTGAGAAGGAGGGAGGGGGATCGGAGGATGATGAAGGGTACGGAGAACCAAAAAACGGGGGCGCCCCTCCTCACCTCCGATCGCTCCGCCTCGCGACCCGTCCCAAGGCTTTAGTGTGGTTGTTGTTGTTGCTCGTGTTGCTGTTGGTGGTGTTGTTGGTGATGTTGGTGGTGTTGTTGTTATTGTTGTTGGTTGGCGTTGTTGGTGTTGGTGGTGTTGGTGTTGGTGTTGGTGTTGGTGTTGGTGGTGTTGTTATGAGTGGTGTTGGTGGTGGTGGTGTCGATGTTGTTAGTGTTGTTGTTGTTGTTGTTGGTATTGCTGTTGTTGGTGGTGGTGTGGTTGGTGCTGATGTTGGTGTTGTTAGTGTTGTTATTGGTGTTGGTGGTGGTGTTATTGTTGCTGCTGTTGCTGGTGTTGTTGGTGTTGGTGTTGATATTTTTTCTCGTCGTCCCCCCCGCGACCCGGCCCGCGACCCACCCGCGACACACCCGCGCGACCCACTCGCGACCCACCCCGCGACCTTCCCGCGAACCACCCTGCTACCCACCCGCGACCCGCCCGCGACACACCTGCGACCCGCCCGCCACCCACCCCCGACCCACATGCGACCCACCCGCGACCCAACCCGCGACCCATCCGCGACCCACCCCGCGACCCACCAAGATTGCTTTCACGAGACAATCGGAGCCTGCAGCGAGCCCAACCCAATGCATACTTTGTAAAGTTAGGCGCCTGCGGCGGGCTTCTTCAGAGCCTCGCAGACTCGCCCCCTCACTCTTATCCGCAACTGCGGGGTGCTATTATGCTTTTGCCTCTTCGGCACCTCTTGGGAACGTCTTGGGCCCTTTGGAAGGCCTCTCGGGCGTCTTGGGAAGGTCTCGAGGGCCTCTGGGAGTCTGGGAGGCGCGCTGTGGGCCGCACCCCTCGCAATGATAGCCCACGACCCTTCCCGGCCTTCTCTTGGGGCCCTCTTGGGGCTCTCTCTGGGCGGTCTTTGAACACTACTGGGCGGCCTCAGACGCCTCTATGGCCGTCTGGAGGCTCGCATGGGCTGCTCTGGAACACGTTTGGGCTGCTTGCGGCCTCCATGTGGCCCTGTTCGGCCACTTTGGGGGGCTCCGACGGCCGACGAGGCAAGCTCGCGGAAGTCATGCAAAAACAGATAGGACATCGGCGGTTGCTACGTCCTGCGGGTCTGCTCGAGCCTTTCTCGGCGGCCCTCCCAGCGCATGCTTGGCCTCCCTCGGGCTCTTTGCGCCACAGAGGAGGAGGAGGAGGAGGAGGAGGAGCTCTTGGACTATCATGAGCGCCCTCGGGTGCCCGTTGGGGCCACCCCTCAAACCTCGGGAGCCCCGGGCGCTTCCTTTTGGGGGGCCGAGAGGGCGGCAACAAAACCGCACCCCGGATGCTTTGCCACTGTGCCCGAGGCCCGCACGAAACCGGGCACCCCCGATGTGCGTGTGCGTACATATACACATATATATATATATATATATATATGTGTGTGTGTGTACACTAGAACCATCGCGCGCTTCGCGCGCGCTCAGGTTCTAATTGAGGTCACCGCTCAGGTGCGATGCCCGCGACGATTCTTACCACAAAGACGGCGGCGTGCACTCCGCTCACGTTCGCACGCCATGTTCCGGAGGAGCGTTCCCGGAGCATGGGGCGCCAGAGGCTCCCCCCTTCTTCCCTCCTCCCGGACGATCCTGCCGAGGAACTCTTGGGTTGCGTAGGGCCGGTCTTGCGGGCTCCCTGGGGCTCTCTAGGCCCGCCTAGGGCTGTTTGGG